TATATTTTCGGGAAGGCTATTCCACAGCACTGCTCCACTGTACTGAAAGCTTCGCTTCAGATAATTAGTTCGTGGCTTCCATAAGATTGTATTCTAATTTTTGTCAATTTGTAGTTGTTAAGCGTGGATGAGGAAGAATTGGAAAACCCCGAAAAATTTTCTGAGTTCGATCAATGTTTTTCTGCCATGATCGAAAGAAAACGACAGGACAACCATGTATAGAACATAACATGAATATTTGTGTAGGATCCACAGATGCACATTCGTGATGCACAGCAACGAACACCAGATCAAACTCGTGCGGGAATCGAACAGTTGCGGTGGAATTTGAAAGATTTCATTTGCGTTGTTTGTATTGTGATTTTCGAAGGGGCTTCAAAAATTTACAAATCGTCGCATAAGAAATGTTGATGGAGGATGCGGGCATTGATCCCGCTACCTCGCGCATGCTAAGCGCGCGCTCTACCATTTGAGCTAATCCCCCGCCACTTGCTTCCATAAGATTGTATTCTAATTTTTGTCAATTTGTATAGTTGTTAAGCGTGGATGAGGAAGAATTGGAAAAACCCGAAGAATTTTCTGAGTTCGATCAATGTTTTTCTGCCATGATCGAAAGAAAACGACAGGACAACCATGTATACAACATAACATGAATATTTGTGGAGGATGCGGGCATCGATCCCGGTACCTCACGCATGCGAAGCGCGCGCTCTACCACTTGAGCTAATCCCCCAACACGTTCGCTTATAGCCCGGCACCTACCTATTTCCAAGAAATTAGTGTCACCACGCCGTCATAATTGCTACATGACGAAAAATACCAATCTTAAAGAAGCATTTCAATTTAATTTAATTAATAATGAAAGACATAATACATACAATCTCAGAAATAGGGATACTGGTTTAGCACACCTATACCGAAAAAGGAATTCGGCAAGAGGTGCTTCAGTTATAACGGTGCCTTGCATTGGAATAATCTTTCCCATGAGGCCAAAATTGCTGAATCCTTAAGCTCTTTCAATTGGATATTAAAACGAAGAATGAGTCGAAACTTGCTTGTGTATGATCGTGCAGTTAAAATCACCTGTATTTTCTTGTCGTATTTCTGTATTTCTTGGAAATAGTTAACTTCTTGTAAATAGGTAATTTCACGCCCCACATTGAAATCGGCCTCCCAACGGTTGTTGAGGCTAGCGTGGTTTAAATTAAGTTTTGTATGTATGTATGTAAGATCCTGTCAGTGGCAAAATTCATCAAGCAGTATGAGTTTCCGTTCCGAGGCACAAATTCCGTGGAATTTCTTTGAAGTACTTTTCTGTATTTGATGGGATTCCTACCTATTATGATATCGCGAAATAAAAAGCTGAATATACGCGGCATAAATTGTAGATAGTTTTTCTTTGTTTCTACGTATTTTATTGCAAATACTTTGTATATAAATTGACGACGCCCCTCATGAAAACCAACGTATGTTGATAAGGCTAGCGTCTTGAAATATTTTTTTTACGATAACGGAAGTTGATGGAGGATGCGGGCATCGATCGCGCTACCTCGCACATGCAAAGCGCGCGCTCTACCATTTGAGCTAATCCCCCGTCGGCTTGTTTCTCCAGTTAGAATCCAGTATTTTATAAATCCTCTTATATTAAACGACTTGCTGGAATAACGATATAATCGACCATTTTTTATTTTTAAAAATATTCTATAGGTTCGAGATGCACAGCAACGAACACCAGATCAAACTCGTGCGGGAATCGAACAGTTACGGTGTTATTCACAGATTTCATTTGCGTTGTTTGTATTGTGATTTTCGAAGGGGCTTCAAAAATTTACAAATCGTCGCATAAGAAATGTTGATGGAGGATGCGTGCATTGATCCCGCTACCTCGCGCATGCTAAGCGCGCGCTCTACCATTTGAGCTAATCCCCCGTCGGCTTGTTTTGCAGGTTGGAATCCAGTATTTTATAAATCCTCTTATATTAAACGAATTGCTGGAATAACAATATAATCGACTAGTTTTTATTTTTTATTTTTAAAATTATTCTATAGGTACGAGATGCACAGCAACGAACACCAGATCATACTCGTGCGGGAATCGAACAGTTACGGTGGAATTTACATATTTCATTTGCGTTGTTTGTATTGTGATTTTCGAAGGGGCTTCAAAAATTTACAAATCGTCGCATAAGAAATGTTGATGGAGGATGCGGGCATCGATCCCGCTACCTCGCGCATGCTAAGCGCGCGCTCTACCATTTGAGCTAATCCCCCACCACTTGCTTCCATAAGATTATATTCTAATTTTTGTCAATTTGTAGTTGTTGACATTTACCATAGGCAGCCCAAAACGGCGTGTAGAATGCACCAATATTGCTTCCAAATGTCAATTTGCATTAATCTCGCCCCATTCCATTGTCATTTGTCGCGCGCCGCAAGCACTCAATTGAAAAGCAGTGTTGATATATAGGTATAATCTATATATATCAACACTGCTTTTCACTTGAGTGCTTGCGGCGCGCGACAAATGACAAAGGAATGGGGCGAGCTTAATGCAAATAAATGCAAATTGACATTTGGAAGCCTTATTGGTGCATTCTACACGCCGTTTTGGGCTGCCTATGCATTTACATGTTTTTGTTGGCGTTGTAAACAAGAAGCGTGGATGAGGAAGAATCGGAAAAACCCCAAGAATTTTTTGAGTTCCATCAATGTTTTTCTGCCATGACTAAAAGAAAACGACAGGACAACCATGTATACAACATAACATGAATATTTGTGGAGGATGCGGGCATCGATCGCGCTACCTCGCACATGCAAAGCGCGCGCTCTACCATTTGAGCTAATCCCCCGTCGGCTTGTTTCTCCAGTTAGAATCCAGTATTTTATAAATCCTCTTATATTAAACGACTTGCTGGAATAACGATATAATCGACCATTTTTTATTTTTAAAAATATTCTATAGGTTCGAGATGCACAGCAACGAACACCAGATCAAACTCGTGCGGGAATCGAACAGTTACGGTGTTATTCACAGATTTCATTTGCGTTGTTTGTATTGTGATTTTCGAAGGGGCTTCAAAAATTTACAAATCGTCGCATAAGAAATGTTGATGGAGGATGCGTGCATTGATTCCGCTACCTCGCGCATGCTAAGCGCGCGCTCTACCATTTGAGCTAATCGCCCGTCGGCTTGTTTCCCAGGTTGGAATCCAGTATTTTATAAATCCTCTTATATTAAACGAATTGCTGGAATAACAATATAATCGACTAGTTTTTATTTTTTATTTTTAAAATTATTCTATAGGTACGAGATGCACAGCAACGAACACCAGATCATACTCGTGCGGGAATCGAACAGTTACGGTGGAATTTACATATTTCATTTGCGTTGTTTGTATTGTGATTTTCGAAGGGGCTTCAAAAATTTACAAATCGTCGCATAAGAAATGTTGATGGAGGATGCGGGCATCGATCCCGCTACCTCGCGCATGCTAAGCGCGCGCTCTACCATTTGAGCTAATCCCCCACCACTTGCTTCCATAAGATTATATTCTAATTTTTGTCAATTTGTAGTTGTTGACATTTACCATAGGCAGCCCAAAACGGCGTGTAGAATGCACCAATATTGCTTCCACATGTCAATGTTCATTAATCTCGCCCCATTCCATTGTCATTTGTCGCGCGCCGCAAGCACTCAATTGAAAAGCAGTGTTGATATATAGGTATAATCTATATATATCTACACTGCTTTTCACTTGAGTGCTTGCGGCGCGCGACAAATGACAAAGGAATGGGGCGAGCTTAATGCAAATAAATGCAAATTGACATTTGGAAGCATTATTGGTGCATTCTACACGCCGTTTTGGGCTGCCTATGCATTTACATGTTTTTGTTGGCGTTGTAAACAAGAAGCGTGGATGAGGAAGAATCGGAAAAACCCAAAGAATTTTTTGAGTTCCATCAATGTTTTTCTGCCATGACTAAAAGAAAACGACAGGACAACCATGTATACAACATAACATGAATATTTGTGGAGGATGCGGGCATCGATCGCGCTACCTCGCACATGCAAAGCGCGCGCTCTACCATTTGAGCTAATCCCCCTCGGCTTGTTTCTCCAGTTAGAATCCAGTATTTTATAAATCCTCTGATATTAAACGACTTGCTGGAATAACGATATAATCGACCATTTTTTATTTTTAAAAATATTCTATAGGTTCGAGATGCACAGCAACGAACACCAGATCAAACTCGTGCGGGAATCGAACAGTTACGGTGTTATTCACAGATTTCATTTGCGTTGTTTGTATTGTGATTTTCGAAGGGGCTTCAAAAATTTACAAATCGTCGCATAAGAAATGTTGATGGAGGATGCGTGCATTGATCCCGCTACCTCGCGCATGCTAAGCGCGCGCTCTACCATTTGAGCTAATCCCCCGTCGGCTTGTTTGCCAGGTTGGAATCCAGTATTTTATAAATCCTCTTATATTAAACGAATTGCTGGAATAACAATATAATCGACTAGTTTTTATTTTTTATTTTTAAAATTATTCTATAGGTACGAAATGCACAGCAACGAACACCAGATCACACTCGTGCCGGAATCGAACAGTTACGGTGGAATTTACATATTTCATTTGCGTTGTTTGTATTGTGATTTTCGAAGGGGCTTCAAAAATTTACAAATCGTCGCATAAGAAATGCTGATGGAGGATGCGGGCATCGATCCCGCTACCTCGCGCATGCTAAGCGCCCGCTCTACCATTTGAGCTAACCCCCCACCACTTGCTTCCATAAGAGTATATTCTAATTTTTGTCAATTTGTAGTTGTTGAAAAAACGGCGTGCAGAATGGACCAATATTGCTTCCAAATGTCAATTTGCATTAATCTCGCCCCATCCATTGTCATTTGTCGCGCGCCGCAAGCACTCAATTGAAAAGCAGTGTTGATATATAGGTATAATCTGTGCATTTCGCAGATGATGCAAACACATTCCCAGCTCGTGTTGGTAGTGCAGCGGGAGAGGTGGTAACTAGCATGTGGAATACTGATATTAGACTGGATTAGAAAACACGACGCGAACTGAAAGACTAGCCTGTGTACAGCCGTTACTCTCGACGTAGCGCGCGAGAGAACGTCTGTGAGTTGGATCACGTTGGATGCATAATCCTTGTTCAGGTCACGTGGATAGTTCCAAGATTTGGGGACCGCCTCTGATTGGACAGTGCTTGATTTGAATAATTTATGACAAATGAAGCTATTTCATTGGTTAATTGATAATTAGCATGCGTTTAAAATAACAACACAAAAATTTTAAAATTCCACTATTCCAGATCAAGAATCAAGATTTCCTTCGGGGCATACAAAGGCATAAGGTTTGAAAGACTTCAAATACTATCTGAAAAACGATACACCAGAAATATATTGCATATATTTCTCGATGAAGAGATTTGTTTTGAGTACGATGATCATTGCCGGCACGTCAATACAAGCTCAGTTCTTGGCGTACATATATATGGCGTATATTTGTTTACAAAGACAAAGTATTAAATATAAACACAACTGGTTATTCAAAGGTGCATTTTAAAGTAATTAAAAGTTAACTGGCGAAGTAAGACGAAGTTAAACACATTACATGTAAAGAAAATGCTTTATCGCGAGGGGTCGGGACATATAAACAGATTGTCATTTATTAAATTCTCAATTATAAATTGTCAATTTCCGTCCGATAGTTTGGGCATGGCATGTAACCGGAACACCACCGGAACACCACCGGAACACCACCGGAACACCACCGGAACACCACCGGAACACCACCGGAACACCACCGGAACACCACCGGAACACCACCATTTTGTTTGGGGTTAGGGTTAGGGGTTAGGGTTGGGGTTAGGTGGTGTTCCGGTGGTGTTCCGGTAGTCAGTGTTTTACTACATGCCAATAGTTTGTTGTATTTCTTATATATTTGTCAGCATTGTTCGCTGGGTGTCCAAACACTAGAATTTTATCTTGATTTTCTTAATTTAAACTTCGATACAGCACAAAATTAGACTCCTGCAACAGATTGTATTTCAAGCATAGATACAGCAATTTTCGTCCAAGCACAAACCGCAAACATTTTCGCGCGTTTGTTTACGTTTGAAACGTGGCGTTTACCGTTGGAAACGGAATGTTTCACTGCTCATGTGACGTGTTATAGTGAAAAGCCTAATTCAGTTATTCTTCATGTTTTGATGTGCTTTCGTGTACTTTTCAGTATTTCCAAGCTCACGATATTGTATTAGAGCGACCAAACTAGTTTATATTCATACTTTTTGTGACTAAAACGTATTATAATGGGCTTGGAAATATTGAAACGTGCACGGAAGCACGTCAAAACATGACAGTTGCGCCAAAAATAGCTTAAGGCCCGGTTTAGACGCCGTGCTTTTCATGAGCCGAACTTAATACAATGAATTAAGCACATGAGAAGCACGGCGTCTAAATCAATTAAGCACTGCACTTAATATTAAGCACGGCTAAATTAATAAGTTCGCCTGGTTCAGGCGTGCTACACGGCTGAAGCACATGTTGATTTATACTGCCGTGCTTCAATGAGCCGTACCAAATGCATAAATTATGATAAAATAGAACATTTATAATACGCGTGCGTTGATTGGTCGAGAAGCGTGTTTCTACGCGGGAAATTTCCCGCCTAAACTTACAATCGTAAACAAAACAATTTCAATGCAAATTAAGAATTGTTTAATACAGTCAAAATACAAAAACCTTCCCACTTCCGCTTCTGGCTTGTTTTGTATTTCTGTAATTTGTTCTATTTTTTCTATAGTGATTTAATACCACTTTATCGGCAAATATCGCGGTAGAATTTCCCTTTCTTTTCTTTATATACGTCAATTTGTAGCAAAGGATGCACCTTTCGTTAGACTCTTTGCATAAAAGTTGCGAATTTAGGCTTATAGCGATATTTGCTGATAAAGGCAAAAAGGGTTTCTTGCAGTAAATTGATGGAGCAAAGGTCGGCATTATTACGCAATGAGAATTTGTAAATATATCGAGTCTACTACAAATCTTTTTTTAGTTATATTATGAAATAAATATAAAACATTTATTATGTATGACCCATACAGTTATAGAAACACTTGTAGTAGTTTGGGAGAACTCGAATAACGTGGAAAACTCGCCCTAAGCGGCCTATAGGTCTCGTTTCCCCACACATTATATCCAGGCATTATGCTATGTTTGTAGTAATAAGGCGTTTCAAAAAGCAATTGAAATTTTTAATAACCGCAAACGTGTAGACGCTCAGAAATGCCAAGATTGTATGTGATAAACCCTTTTTTCTTATTATGAAATGTCACTCGCCCCAGGTTTCGAAGTGAAGCAGCGCAAATTATTAAGTACGGCTCATGAAAAGCACGCCTGTCTAAATCAAAATTGGAAGTACGCCTATTTTACTCGAGTAAAATATGAGTTAAGTTCGGCTCATGAAAAGCACGGCGTCTAAACCGGGCCTAAGGCTTTTCAATGTGACACGTCACATGAGCGGTGAAACATTTCAGTTTCCAACGGTAAACGCCCCGTTTCAAACGTAAACAAACGCGCGAAAATGTTTGCGGTTTGTGCTTGGACGAAAATGGCTGTATCTTATATGATTTCAAGTCTTTCAAACCTTTGCAGGGTTGGTAGGCATTCGCGCATGCACAAAGCCAAATGACCTTTAAAAAAAGGCCAAATTCTACTAAATAAGGCCAAATTTCATTTTTTTGAAAAAAGCCAAAAAAGAGCCAAATCTTATCAATATTTTCGACTTACATTGGTCAGGTTATCTCTACTCTCTAGGGTTAGAGAAGTGCAGTATGTTGATGGATGAAAAATTCAAATTTTAAAGCAAATTTTGTCATTTTTTGGGACGGACCTCTGCGAAGACATAGCTACAATGTTGTCAGCTTTACGATCTCATTGAGTGTCAATAAAATTAGGTTATTCTCTGTCAATGATACACAATTCTTACATTCTTACATGTTGCTTTATGGTTTACGTTCCTTCATAATATGGTTTACATATGCATATGGTTTACGCATATGCATATGGTTTACGCATATGGTTTACGTTCCTTCATAATCCAACGTATCGCAACTAAATCCTGTTCTCTGGATCCACTCCCGGTGGTCATGCTAAATCACTGTTTTAAAGACATCTTACCCGTTGTAGCTAGAATAATCAACCTCTCCTTGGAAAGTGGTACAATGCCTGACTCTTTGAAGATTGCTGTTGTTCAACCGCTATTAAAAAAGTACAATCTTTCCTATGAAGAATTCTGCAGTTTTCGTCCAATATCAAATCTGAAATTTGTCTCGAAATCAATTGAGAAAGCAGTTGCTGTACAATTAACTGATTATCTTACTGAAAATCATCTACATGAGAAATTCCAGTCTGCTTATAAACCTTGTCATAGTACTGAAACAGCGCTATTGAGGGTTCAAAATGATATCCTTCAAGCTCTAGATAACGGTGATTCTGTTATTCTTGTCCTACTGGATCTGTCGGCGGCTTTTGACACCGTGGATCATTTAATTTTATTAACAAGACTATCGAAACGCTTTGGCATAAGGGGTCGTGTGTTGGATTGGCTTACCTCATACCTTACATCCAGGAAACTGTTTATTCGTGTTGAGGGAACTGATTCGTTATTGAGTGATCTTGTTTGTGGTGTACCTCAGGGATCTGTGTTGGGTCCTCTGTTGTATTCACTCTATACTGCCCCTCTCGCGGATGTGGCTAGGCGCCACAATCTGCGCTTTCACTTTTTTTCTGATGATGGGCAACTTTACATTGCATTCAAAAGGAATGATCGTGATGATTTAATATCATCTAAGATCCGTATGGAGAAATGTATACTTGAATTGGGAAACTGGTTGATGTTGAATAAATTGAAACTAAATAGTGGCAAAACGGAGCTTATATTAGTCCATTCACGCTATCATCTGATGCCTCCCTTAAATTATATCATGGTGGGAAAGGAAAAAATTGTGCCAACTGTTTCAGCAAGAAATCTGGGGGTGATTTTTGATGAGTGGATCAGATTGGGCGAACATATTAATGGTATCTGCAAGTCAGCTTACTACCATATTAGGGATATTTCAAGAATTAAGAAGTATCTACCTCGAAATTGCTTAGAAATAATTATTCATGCATTTATAACTTCAAGACTGGATTATTGTAACTCCCTGTTGTATGGTGTACCCAAATATTTGCTTCAGAAGCTTCAGAGAGTCCAAAATACTGCAGCTCGTTTACTAACTGATACTAAGAAATCGGCGCATATCACCCCAGTTCTTATCGAATTGCATTGGTTACCTGTCCAATACCGTATTCAATTCAAGATTATACTTCTTGTCTACAAAGCTGTTAATGATCTTGCTCCATCGTATCTGAAGGAACTTATGCTGTGTCGTACTTCGCAGCGTACTCTTCGATCAAATGGAAATGAATTGCTCCAGATTCCTTATTCTAGACTAAAGACATACGGAGACAGATCGTTCTGTGTTGCTGGACCAAGATTGTGGAATGATTTACCTGTTCATCTTCGGATGTGTGAATCATTAACCATTTTTAAGAAGTTTCTTAAAACATATCTTTTTAACTTGTTTTTAAATAGTGTATGATGTATTCTATAGTTTTAACATTCTTAACACTAGTTTTAAGATTGGATTTTGTATTACTGTAAAGCGCCTAGAACAGTCTTGGTTTGTGCGCTATATAAATGTTTATTATTATTATTATTATTATAATAAATTATACTAAAAATAGCGAAAATTCCTGTCACTTGATAAAAAAGCCAAAATAGAGCCAAAAGGCCAAACATTTTTTTCAAGGCCAAACAAGAAATAAAAAAGCCAAAATCGAGTTATTTGGCTGCAAAAAGGCCAAGTTACCAACCCTGCACCTTTGTATGTCCTGAAATGCCTTGTACCCAGGCGCTTTGGTTTGTTTACGTCATCAAGCGCAAGTGGGACGGCACGCGAGGGAGAAAAACGGAAAATATCGATCAAATTAATCCACGCGGCCCACGCAAGCCATAGAACAACATATAGCGCCTGGGTACGAGGCTGTGTCCCGAATAGCCTGCGTGGCAGGCTCACTACCTGCCGCGCAGGCTATGTCCCGAAGGAAATCTTGATTCTTGATCTGGAATTTTAAAATTTTTGTGTTGTTATTTTAAACGCATGCTAATTATCAATTAACCAATGAAATAGCTTCATTTGTCATAAATTATTCAAATCAAGCACAGTCCAATCAGAGGCGGCCCCAAATCTGGGAACTATCCACGTGACCTGAACAAGGATTATGCATCCAACTCACAGACGTTCTCTCGCGCGCTTCGTCGAGAGTAAAGCCGGTTTTCCAGATGGTTCCAGTTGAGAGACCAAAGACAAATCAAAAATTCGCTTCGCGCGAAAAAATTCGCAAGTGGAAAACCGGCTTAACGGTTGTACACAGGCTATGAAAGACGCGCCTTCGAAACAAAAAAGATTCTTCATGCAAAACAAAAAGTTGAATAGTTTGTGGTCCCAGGGATATCCTCAACAACGTTGTCATTCTGAATTCAACGTTAAACTCGGATTTTCACATCTTTGGAGCGACGTGAATGCCTTGTTGTGACATTAGACGACGACTTGTTACGACGTTAATAAAATATACCTCAAAGCACACACCGGATCGTTTTTCCCAAACTTAGCCGTTTGTAAAGTTATTTTAAAAAGCTTCAAATTATTGCAGTAATCAAATTCCTTAGCTCTCGTCCCCTTTTCTAATCTGTCTAGTGTTTGACGTCGATACCCGGGTGTGAATTGCGTTCTCTACCAAATTGTTTATACCCTGCAACGCCTGAGCCACAATACTCCGGCCAACAGCGCCTGAATTCCACGTGATGCCAACAGGTGTAATGGAGTTGTTGTTGAGGTGGAAGAAATCATATTTTTCGATTTAGTTTTCAAAATCCTTCACTCCTTCCTTTTCTTTGTGTGCTTATGATATTTATGTTCTTTTTTACGTCCGTCTAACTTGTGTTTCCTTCTTTGATTTCTTTCCATGCCAGGTTTCTCATCATATCTCTCAGGACTACGGTACGATCTTCTCTCTCTAACATCATCTTTCCTACTCTGCTTACTTTTCTTATTACAGTTATCTTTCTCTTTATCATATCTCCTACTACGACTATCGTAGGATTGTTCATCTGTCATATTGTCTTTTGTATTTCGTTCATACTTATCCTCAGACGTTTTCTGCATACTACAAGTTGCCTCTGAATATTTAAAAGATGAGTAAGAATGTTCCAATCGTTCATATTTATCATTAGTTTTTCTTTCAATGCTTTTAATATCTCCTGACGAGTTGTGGGATGAGCTGGGTGAAGTTGACCTGACACGATCCTTTGTCAAACTTTGTCTTTGATGTTTTTTCTCTATGCCTATGGAAAGAAAATTTAGATTAAATAGTGTAAGTGAAACTTGTACGGCATAAAGTAATTTAGTTGGAAATTTCGACTCGTCTGGATAAATCGACTGTGAGAAAGGCTAGTTAATTAAAATATATTAATCATGATTCACTAATAGTACAGAAATTACGGGAACCACCGAGTATTTTCATAAAATACACAACAACTGTAACTCCGAATATTGAAAGCATTTTTATTTTCTACGTTTCGACTATATTTTAGTAATCTTGAATGACTGAAGATGATTAAGTCTAAAATATAGTCGAAACGTAGAAAATAAAAATGCTTTCAATATTCGGAGTTACTGTTGTTGTGTAATAGTACAGTATTTATAATATTTAAAATTTTATTTTTTATCTTATTAACTTTGCCATTGTACCTACCAGAGTATGTATTTTATTTCATTCAATACAATAGAATATACTAGACAGTCATATATGTGCATGCAAAACATGAGAACTTACTTTAGATGTGATACAGTCTGTTTGCATGAGTTAGTTTTATTAAATTATGAAGGTAGCATGATCAAGCTATACACGAACATAGTATTAACAGACTGTCCCACATCTTTAACATTATTGCTACCTTTCATTCCATTATCTCGCTTCTGATTTGTCAAAGTTCCCATGAGAACATTACGTAAAAACCTTTTATTTGTTGGCACCAAAGGGCACTTTATCCTAAATGAAAGGTTTAATTAATAGTTTATAAATTCAAAATATTTTTAAGTTGTATATAATATGTGCAAGTACAAAAACATGTAGTGAAGCAAAATATGTTCTTTGTGATTCTTAGCCCTATCTTTCAAATCTTATGCATTACCGAGTATGTCAGACTACTAGTATATTAACACCTAATTATAACAGTTTGCCCCTGTCTCTTTAGTACATGCTATGGAATACAATTCTATGTTTTAACCAAGGTTATCACATACCATCCCATTGGTCCCATGGTTTCTGCTCTTTCTTTCCCTCGTTTTGTCTCTTTTATAATCTCTTCAAGTGCTATTCTGTATTAAATCGGGTAAAATAGTTGATATAGATAACAAGAGACATCATTTGTAGACAGAAAAGCAAACACCTGTGCTTCAATTCTTTTTTCTTGGCTAAAAGGTTTGTGTCAGGTAGGGGGTTGACAATGACTGGCCCAGTTGGGATGGTCACTTTGACTTGAAATTAAGATAACTTACATGTCTTATATACCTGTTGTCATTTTCGTTATATTAATTGTTCTGTTTATTATTACTGTATATAGTAGTTACCAAATTATGAACAAACATGGTAATAAAATTTGGCTTAATTTCGTTGCTTTTATATGATAATTTGTAACTATATTTAATTTTCGTTATATGTTCATGGCATGTTAACACATAAAAGTTGTGGCATTTCAATTTTATCTCCGTATACTTCCACATAATTTTGTAACTGCATGCTATAGTTATACAGATTGAACATTAAATTATGGGCCATATTCAAGCATATTCAAGTTGTCATGCAAAATGTCAAATTGATGTTTTGAGTGCATTTGAGGGTACGTTGGTCAAACAATTATTCTGTGATGTTTTCACCATGATGGCAAAATAAATATTTTAAAAAAGTCTTACGTACTATAAGGTATGCACACTTTACGATAAAAATGACAATTTGATAGATAGAAGATAAAAAACTTTATTTACCCAAGCTAACCCTGTCAATTAACTGAAGAAGCTGATTCAATGTGGCCTGTTACAATAAAAGCGGAAGAAGGAAAGTTTTTGTGCACCCTTACGAAAAAAGTCTATAGGTGGCCTAAAAGTAATGTTCCAATTCCTTATATAGAAGCCTTTAGGCACCTATATAGAGCTCTATAGGCTTTTAGTATAAATTTCCAGGTGACTATTGATTTTTCTGCATTCTGATTGGTCAAGATTCACTGTCTCTGAAGTGATAGTCACTGGTCAGTGACTATAGCTTTTTTTTCAAAATGGCTGCTCGTTTTGCCGTAGTAACAGAGGAGGAAATTGCCAAAATTAAAGAAGATAGCATTCCCAAAAAATCCAAACAAGCTACAAAATATGGTTTAAAAATATTTCAAGGTAAAATATTAAACTTTACGTGCTTTTATTTGGAAAAAGCTGGCTTAGTCGCAACGCGACACAGAGCCGTGTCTGAGATTTAAATTTTGTAAACAAATTTGTAAACAAACTATTTATAGTGAAAATAAATTTATTTGAAGTGAATTTTTATAAAGTTGTGTGGATTATTGTTTGTAAATACCTGGAAATTTACACTAAAACAATTAGTCGCCTCATGCTCGGTGATTACAAGCCTATATTCACTTCGCCTTCGGGTCAGTGAATATAGACTTGTAATCACCTCGCCTTCGGCGACTAATTGTTAAATAGGCATCCCTATACAGGGTCTGAAATTTGCAATATCCCGATACTGCAAACATCCAAGGGATACCAAAAATTTGGTTTTGGATACCAAACTGTGAATGACCTAGCTGTATCCCGACTGGATACTAAAAAAATCTTAAACACCTGTGACAGGCTCCTGATAACTTTTGAATACTATCAGTTTGTCACCAGTCTTTCCTCATTGCATGAGGACTAGCATATAGAAGTTTGCTGAAAGATTTAAAGGGAGTGGTCATTATTTATAGGGAGGGGGGAGGTTGGTAAATGGGGAAAATAAGGATTGAAAACGTTTTTGACACCCCCCCCCCTCCAGACTGAAAGCAAACTTTTTCTGCCCTCCCCTCATAAAAGTAGAAACTTTTCTGCCCCCCCCCCCAGTGTGGATTGAAAAATTAACAGCAATAAAACAGGTGTGCGTTTCAGGTAAAGTTAGATATTAGGACAATCTGTTTAATCTATCTCATGATGTTTTACCCTGGTGAACATGATTCAACCATATGTGATTAAAAATGTCCTACCATAACCCTAACCCATGGCCTGTCTTCATACAGCGAAATTATTTGAACACAGCTAGGGCTTTTTTACGAACTTGTCTGGGGGGCATCTACAAAAAGGGACCATACTATACTGAGTGTGGAGAGATGACAGATGGTTGTTGGTGACAAAAAGTTTAGTGTGGTATTGTATGTACTAGTAGGGGGGGGGGGGTCTGGGGGTATTCTCCCCCAGGAAATTTTTTTTTTGTATTTTTTCACCCCTAGGACTGAAATGTGAGCATTTTCTGAACAGATTCTTGGATATACAGCATTATATTGCAGGGTTCCAATTGGCATTTTGCTTGTGCCTGGGGTTCAGTATTAAAAAAATTAATAGCCCAATTTTCAAGTTTTCAAGTCCCCCCCCCCCTAAAACTTTTTTTGCGAGAGGCTTATAAGGTTAGCGCAAATGAATTAATGATACATGTTTTGATATGTATTTAGTAATATATGGCTGTAAAGTATATTCCATTTTACAGGTTTTGATACCAGTACTGATGGAAATTGGCATGACTGCACTATATAAACATAATAATTAGTGACAATTGCAATACAATTACAATACACGCAATTTTAACATTTCTTGTATTGGTAATGTCTTTATAAAATTGCCGTTCTAAGTTCTTTTGAAGATCAATACTAGACAATTTGCATGTTAGCAAAGCATCAGGGGAAAAGTGGTGACCATAAATATTGTGACGTTATAAAGTTACCGTTTTAAAGGTCAAGTGCAGAGTGTGATATACTTTTACAATTCATGTATAGAGTCTATATATAGACGTTGGTTTATATAATAAAAACTCCAGTTTTAGTACTCAAACTAAAAAAAACAAGACCATGCCTATGCCCACATTATTAGAAACAACAGCTTTAAAAACAACACCGAAGAATCCAATTTAGTTGATGACTACGTATCTCTTAAAAATTACAATGTAATGTATGCCAAACATGAATCACAATTCGTCATTGCGTTATTTGCGTAAATAATCATTGCCTCAATAAGTGAGAGATAAGCGTAATAACTAATATTCAGTACATTGTACTATTGGTAGCTGTACTGAATACAAAGAATATAATGTATTTCTAATGCTTTTTTTCTGATTACACCAATGTTATTGCGACAGATTTGCGCAAATGTTATTTGATATCACGCATTGTAATTATATAAATGCGAACTGCCTAGTTTTCTGGACGTGAGAAGGTGAAGAAGACTGGGAACGTCCTAGTTTTTTGTGCGCAGGGGTCTAAGAACGTCCTAGAATTACCTTATTTGGAAAAAAACTAGGCTGTTGTCGTCAAAAACTAGGACGTTCCCAGACTCCAAAATACCAATTGCGCGTAATGACGTTGTTTTAATCTAAATCTATACATGTTGACAGAAACATTCCTAAAACAGAGATTATTAATATAATACGGAAACAGCTTTACATTAGAGCTGTGCGGTTCCAAAAATTTTATCTCGGTTCCGGTTTCGGTTTTTTGGAACAAAAAAACCTCGGTTTGGTTCGGTTTCGGTTATTTTCAAAAAAGAAGAACAGTACAAATGTATGAACTCATTTATGTATGTTTCGAGCATTTTTACTAAATAGATGAATTTATGCCTTTGTAAGTTAGTATAAATCTCGGATTATTTTAAGACAACAATTGGAATTTATTTATGAAGATGAAATATTTCTTATTTTTTAAAGGAATTTAAAGCAAGTTCACAACAATAACTATCGCAACTAAAATATTAACTGTTTGAGCACTTAGTACAGTGCATATTATGCACAGAGCACCATCTTGTTATTTTCCAAACATTTCAACCTGCAATCAGGTGGGCGTTTGGCGGGAGTTAAACGGGAAATTAAAACCGAAACTAACGTTTTTTTGCGTATAGTTTTTCGGTGCTGAAAAAAGTACCGGAAGAACCGAATTTTTCGGTTAACCGCACAGCTCTACTTTACATAGGGTATTAAAATAGCAGAATATTTCGAAATTAAGCACGATAATGTAGAATACACGTACACAACACAAACTGACAACCGATTTTGTGACCTATATCAGAGCGTCCTAGTTTACGCTTTCTGGTTGCCTAGTTTTTCAATTTTTACCATTTTTTTTCCTAAAATTGGAAAATTTATGAGATTGGGTTCCCAGGCACAACTGGCCTCATTTGGAACCTTGTATATTATGCTTTGATAGACCAAATCTGATCAGTTTTACCACAACTGGGTCACTCAGGGGGTAGGAAGTTTGTTAAACTTAGTGGGCCCGACTACCACGAAGCGCTACCATGGACGGCACCGAGCAGGGAAATTTTCAAAAGTTTGAGTCTCTAGATCGTTGGAAATGGCATTTTCAGAGTCTTCTTTCTTTTCCTTGTTGGCATTATGTTTGTGATTATAGAAATCAGAACTCTAGACATGTATGGTATTTAAGTTCAAAAACTTTTTTGACCCCCCCCTTTCTCCAGGTTAAAACTTTTTTGACCCCCCCTATTTATAAGGGTAAAACTTTGTTTGCCCTCCCATTTAGCACCCCCATAAATAATGATCACTCCCTTATATGTGCATTTTAGTGTATTAATGAATTATTTAGTTGTTGATCACTGTTGAGGCTCCTGTTGTTATTGTAATTTGTAACAGTGAGAGTTATGGCAACTTATTTGGATGGGACGGGGTATAATACTTATGGTACCGGTAACCAGTATCCAGAAGTGGGATACTGGATTCTCAGGGGGATACTAAACTTTGAATCCTGGTACCCCAGTTGGATACTGAGAAAAAATATAAATTTCAGACCCTGCTATAGGATACATCACAAAGTTCATTGACCTTCGAGATAATTTTTTAAAAAAATATTTCCAAGATGGCGGCGAAACACAAAGTTTGCATGCATTTTACTCGTAGACTAAAATGTTTGAGAACGAAATGATAATATTTTCATAGTTAGGTCGTCAAGTAGGATTGAAATAGCCAATAAAAATTTTCGGTGCCATTGTCCTTTAAAAAGGAATAGTATCTTTAGTAACTACTCATTTGACATGGAGAGTAATACTAGTCTTTAATTATTTAATTTTTTCGTATCACATATTTGAAATTAGTGCTGGGTGGAAGGATCCATTTGGTTGTGAGTGCCGGGTGGCACTGCGCCGAGCATCACTGCCCAGTCGGCATCGTACATCCACCGTGGGCAGAACCTTGGGAGAAGCATCCTCAGAAACCTGTGACTTGATCTGGTTGAGCTGCATCCTTTGCAGTTCAGCTTAGCAGTTAGCTTTCAGCTGCAAGTAAGGATGATTAATATCACATCTCCCCCCCTATTTTTAATATTTATAAATTACCTGTCTAGATCACTTTCCTCGTTTTTATCATTTTTTGCCATTTTCTTTTTACTTTCTTTTACACTCGGTTGTAAAGCTGACTCTAGAGCTTTAATACAAATTTTAGTGAAACATTTTAAGTGAAATTGTCATTATTTTGACCATTAAAAAACTTCGCCATTTTTTCATTGGCGAATTTGCAAGTACTTCATCTTGCACAGGCATCATGGTAATCCCGCTGAATAAACTTTGCAGGCTCAAATAACATATTTGATATTTCAAAAAAAATGAAAGAAACATGTGAACGGCAAACAACAAAATAATATGATTTATAAAGGTTCATTTAGTCAATTTATGTAATATATTGTTTACTTTATGTTATATAAATATACAAGATGACATTTGCAGCCGGGACATCGCTTGGTTCGAGTTTTTTTGGTAATAAATCTACAGCACCAACGTTGACGTTTGGCACTCCTGCAGTTGCTGCTGCGTCATCTGCATTTTCATTTGGCGCACCAAAAACTACTGCCACAACAGGTATGTTATTGAAGGCGTACACATGATGATTATCAGAGGTCGTTCATTTAGTATGTACAATCTCACACAAATTAGGTGGATTGGGAGGGGGGGGAGGGAGGGGAGGACAGGCTGTTTGTGTTGAATGTTTGTGTTGGTTGTACTGAAGTCTAGTCAGCATATTGAACACCATCAGGTAAAACAGGGTGCGAAATAACAGCCGGTCAACGGACAATGTCTGGCCAGAATGCGGAGTTGTCCAGTCAAATTCTTACCTTGCCGGTCAATTTTGACCGGTCACTTTCGGTAAAATGTCAAACTAATCTTCATTTGAATTAATAATCAAAACAAAGTTGTCAAGTATTATAATTAAAAACCATAAGATGTTGTCGAATATTTTGCAGGAAAAGAACTTCAATGTACGGCAGCTTTCCCACGTCAAAGCCCATGGCCATGCTTTTGGCTTAAGAGTTAAAGGTCATGCTTTTAGCGCAGTGCAAGCTGTTTTATGGGCCTTTATGTGAAGGAGTTTTTAATTACTGATTACAGTATAAGACTTTTTGTAATGCTAAAAAAATGGGAAAATAGTCCCATTTTTAGGGAAAATAGTCACACCTTTAGGGGTATACTTTACTTGGCTTTGCTTTAAGCTGAATAATTTGACCGACCAGAAATTCGGTATGTCCAAGCTAAAATTGAGTTGGCCGGTCACCTTGACCGGTGACCCTGCAGCCGTTATTTCGCGCCCTGCTTTACACTGCCACTGGTGAACATTACTGAGTCTGAAGTAGCACTGTGGTCAAACATCAGGCGCATGTGCGAGTATATGGAAACGGCCGGGAAAAATGTCTGCCAAAATAATAGTAAATATGGAAAAAGAAAAGTGTTTACTTTAAGGAATTATATAAGGAAATGGCTAATTGTACCGATTAATCGGCTCATCCCTAGTTAATTTATGTTAATTTAGTTTTGTTTTATATAACACTAACTCTTTTAATATCAAAATACCGCATATTAACGTAAACTAAAAACATTTTAATTAATGCGGATTGCTTCTAGGTCTTTTAAAACATGATTATATTACCACGAATCTGATCTCCATGGTTGACAAATTAATTAAATTAACACGAATTGGAAAATATAGACACAACAACAACAAAGGTTTAATGTTAAGAGGAGCATTAAGATGCTCCTCTTAACATTAAACTTTGTTGTTGTTGTGTCTATATATTTTCCGATTCGTGTTAATTTAATTTGTCAACCATGGAGATCAGATTCGCGGTAATATAATCATGTTTTAAAAGACCTAGAAGCAATCCGCATTAATTTGATGTTGCGTTAATTTATGTTGCGTTAATAAAGTGCATTGTTAATTTCCTATAATAAGGTAATTGGAAGTGTCGCAGATGTTTTGTCCAGGATTGTAGACTAGAAGCAATCCGCATTAATTTGATGTCGCGTTAATTTATGTCGCGTTAATAAAGTGCATTGTTAATTTCCTATAATAAGGTAATTGGAAGTGTCGCAGATGTTTTGTCCAGGATTGTAGGTGTGAGATTTCGGCTATAAGCCTGTAAATATACATACATACTGTATGTAGATAATGCAACAAAATATGTCTCTTCTAAACCATTACCAAATATTAGTGATGGGTGATACCAGGATTTTTAATTCAATAGACGGCCAGGTGTACACTCGCTATACACTGTAAATAAACCCCGAACAGAACAAAGTTTTTGTGATGAAAAATATATCCAGAGGCTTTGTTTTGAATGAATTGAGACAACTCAAGCGAAATAAGGCTACTGCATGGAGCTGACAAACTTCCACCTGGAATGTTGAAGGATATCAGGGAATATATAGCTGATCCTTTGTGTTATATTTTAAACCTTTTGGCGAAAACTTCCATAGTGCCTCTAAGGTGGAAAACAGCAAGTATATATGTCAATCTGGGTCTAGAGATCAACCAGAGAACTTTCGCACAATATCTGTCTTGCCTGTGTTGTCAAAATTGCTGGGAAGGCTGTATACCGGCAGTATATGAGTTTCCTGGAGGAAGGAAAACTCTTATCAGATTGTCAATTCGGCTTTAGGTCAAAGTGGTGGACATATCTTGCTGCGACTTTATTCATTGATGATATACAAAATGATGTCGACAAAGGAAATCAGGGGCAAATTTATAGGTCTTAGCAAGGCTTTTGATATGATTAGTCATGACGTATTGCTAGCTAAATTGCAAGCGTATGGAGTTCAAGGCATGGTCAACAGATTACTTGTTTGGTCGGCAACAATATGTTCAGCTGGGGGTTGATACAGTATGTCATCAAATCAGCCATTATGTTGTGGAGTCCCTCAGTGTTCGATAATGGGTCCTTTGTTATTTATGGTCTTCTATAATGGTTTGACAGATTTGAAAACAAACTCGCGAGTCGTACAATATGCTGATGATACGGTTGTCTATTGTCCAGGTATATTGTCACAGGATATGGATTTAATGGCCAACTATTTTGATGAGAATGAATTAATAATGAACCTAAAGAAGGAAAATTGGAGGTGATGTTTTTTGGTACGGCAAAAAGATTGTCTTTGCAATCTCGGGATATTGGTGTGAAGTATATAAAGGTGAATCCTTAAAAACAACAGCGGCCTACAAATATCTTGGATTATGCTCTTGACCCATGTCTGACACTTTGCAAAAATTTGATGAATATTTGATGATGCTTATAAGAAAGCAAGTAATCGCTTACGATTGTTATCAAAACTGCGTCATCCTGTAACTACTGTTGTTGCGTACAAGATATATGATGACTGTCCCAATTTTAACGTACAGTACATGCATGCAGTGGCGTACGAAAGAAATTATTGTATCTGAAATATATGGTCCGCCTCTGGATAAACTGATCAAAAGGAAAGCCTGTGTGATTGTGAGAAAGTGCTTAGTGAATGAGATATGTAGTAACTTTTCCGGCTATTTTCAAGTTGTTTGTGATGTTACTCTGAGTGTGCATCCACACCGGGCAAGCTGAAAAGTTTGCTTGGCCACGGTGGGAATCGAACCCGCGACCTTTGGGAAATACTAGTCCAATACTCTGCCAACTGAACTACGCGGTCAAGTCGGTTCGAGTTGGTGATGGTGCCGAAAATTACGCGGTCAAGTCGGTTCACTATTGTGATGGTGGCGAAAATTCACACGAATCAATCAGTCAGTTATAGAGTAAACTTTCCGGGGGGTGTATACGATTTATGTTCGTAGTGATATATTGTACTTAGTCAGCACTTTGAAGGTTATTTAGGCAATTTCAGTTGTCTTATTTAAATATTCTTTTATTCTTTTGCCAAGTTCACAAAAATTTCGAGGAATCGCTTTCGTTATTGTAATTTTTTGTAAATTTTGTAACATTCGCTTCTCATGTTATGTAAAGGAACTTTACCCCGGAACACCCGATTTTTTCTTTAGTAGCGCTAATGCAATTCCATCAGACGAATAATACGTAAACAAAGTTCTATTAAACAGAAGCGGGTGTTTGTACAGGCGTTTACGAAGAAAATAACTTGCGAGACTAAAGAAATCAGTTGAGTCAGAGCTCCTTATTTAAATAAGAAAGACGAGGAGATAGCCAATGTGTTATCGCCAACGTGTTTATATCGCCAATCGCTTGGCTCGCCAACAAGCTTTATGCAATAGAAGAAAAAATCAAGGAGGTACATGTAGCCAACGTGTACCGTCACGGACCTTGTTTACTGTCTAGCATAACGCCGTTATCAACGGTGCAAACTCGTGTTCAGTGCAACGATAACTCTACCAGATCTTACGAGAATCAATCTGTAGTATTCTGTACATAGAACTGTATCAAAGCTTGTCAAAACTGCTTTAATTATATAACTGTGAAACTATTGAAATCTAAAGTGACATTATTTAATACATGCGAAAAGCTGAGAATATGACACAACGTGACACTGGGAAAAGTCAAAGGTCAATGAGACTTGTTATTAGATAGCTTAAGATCTACGACGTCGACGTCAGCTAGGACGTCAGGGCTATGCAGAGGACTGGGACTAAGATGTCGTCCTAATGTAGTCCCTGTCCTCTGCTTAGCCCTGACTTCCTAGCTGACGTCGACGTCGTAGATCTTAAGCTATCTATTGTGAAGCATGTCACAATTAGGTTAAAATGCGGAAGCGGATGGAGCGGATCCACGGAACGGATATGCGGATAAAATACGGAACGGATGAGGATAAAATGGGTCCTTTTAATGATGTAACGACGTAGTGCTTATTATTCATAACATATCTTATACAGCTATTTCGATTAAAGTTTCAACTAAAAGGATGATGGGAATAATCATAGTTTTAGATAAGTTTAGCATATCAGTAGCCTCGTGGGGATGCTTTTAGCGACAGCTGCAAATGCAAATGAAAATTTAGAATATGCAAAATTTGGTTGTTGGTGAAACAATTTAAATATCGAATTGTCGCGTGTAGCATCACAATAAATAGATAAATTGTATCAGTTTCAAAAGGCACGTTTCTGGTGTGTTAGGCTTGTTTCAAACGTCACGCTACTCGTGTGCTGAGCGCATTAAAAGCAATAGATAATGAGATGAAATGCCTTTGGTAACTGTTTATTTCGTATTTCGTGGTGTAAGCCATCGGCTTTTCCAGGTTGTCGGCGACCCTATATAGTTCTTGCAGTGTCTTTTTCAATTTGAAACTTCACACTATCCTTGGATCCCTAGTTAATAATGTATCTCTAGTTAATATCCCTAGTTAATATGAGTTTAATGATTTTTAGATATGATTTTTTTCTGTGTTGGTATAGTATGGTGTAGTTAGTATAAAGAGGACACATATTGATAACAGTATATAGTTTTTACTGAAATGTCTATCCTCTGTAAAAATTCTTAAATATAATAAATAAATTCAGGCCTATAGCTATAGTGGAGTAACCAGATATATACTGTCTCAATATACCAGACAGTATTCCTAAAATTCCAGGCTACACTACCTCTATTTGCCTGAATACTTAATCTTGAGTAAATTTAGGATACTTTATACCCGTACTTCAATCTATTTTAACAATAAAATACTGTATACCAAAAGTAAAATGGTCTAAATACCAATATACCCGAAACCCCTGGCCGTGCTTGCCTATATTGACATTGTTTCTAATGTTCAAATATACAGCTAGAACTAAACGCATTATTTAAAGTGGTCTGCCGGCACCTGAAATGAAGTGACCTCCGTGACCTATGAAGTGACCTCCGTTTATGAAAATGTTCATTTCGGTAACAATACAGTACAGGATTAATGATAGTGTTAAGAAACACGACAGTTCTTGTCCACGGGGCAAAATAATTCACAGTCAAGTATCCTATATCGTAATACGACGCATGCGTAAACAGTAATAGAGCGGGAAGGTTACACATGAATAGAGAACCCAAGATGGTGAACATTCGAATAATTGTTTTCCTTTCACGACGACTTAAGGATACATCTTGTGCAATAGTACGAAATTGTGAGGCAGTTTTGGACGTGGGATTCTCACGAGTTATTTTGATATTTGCGTTGTTGCTGATCTGTGATGAAATTTCGCTTCGGTTTCTATCTATATGAAAAGAAAAGTGTATTATTTTGCGCTTTAGAAAGAATATGTGGAGTATTTGTTCCAGGTTCAACAGTTGGTGTCATATATGCATGGGTGTCTTTCATCTCTGTGAACGGGGTTTGTTCCTGCAATTTGTAGTGGCTTATTGAACATCTAAGGAAAACAGTCTCTATCTTATAGAGTTATCCAGTATGAATAACGTTACTGTTAGTTAACAGAGGTGAATATTAAAGCTTATGAGATCACAGCACCCAGGTTTATATCAGACATGTTTCGTTGCTCTAGTTTAGGTAAATTAATGCAATTCCTGAACAAACTGTATTCACGACCCAACGTTTACAGTCCAGTGACTTCATTAGGATTGACAGGAATGACCAAAAGTTGCAACTTGGCGATGACGTCATAGTCAAAGGCATTGCACGTAAATATGGATCATTGTGCATTGAATTGTAAAGATGCATGGTAGCTTACAGTGTATCTATACCATAGATATCTTATATACACTAGATAGCGCATCTCTTTTAGTAAAATTGAAGTCAAGAATATTCCAGCGTTTACCCCCATTTTAACAGATGGCGGCCATGTTTGGTAGTTGCCATTTGCTAATAAACGCTTAAAAAACAACAATAACTTTCATCATTTGAATAGTTTAAAAATGTATTTGGAATATGTTTAACTTAATGTTTAAGTTCCCTGTTTAAGAAATAGAAAACATACGAATCTTTTCATTTCATTTCATGGGAATATCCTGAGTCTGCAATCACGGCTTCAATTTTTGAATTGCAGAATAATTAGATGCACTATCTAGTGTATATAAGATATCTATGATCTATATACCACGAGGGATTTAGGTATTGTAAGGATTAAGGAGATTAACGTTGGGACTGTGGATCACTCCCTCCTGATGGAGTGTCAAAAATTAGATTACATTAGTTTATACTTAAACCATGAGAGTAACGAAACATGTCATAAAATAATGAAGTTAATTTAGGTTTCCTCCTGTAGTAGTAACACTAGAGAACAATAGACAGAGCTAACCATGCAGTATAAATTTGGGTTAACAGAAGGAAAAATATTACCTGTAATATTTTGACGGTCGAGAATCTTTAACTCTGTTTCACTTTGTTCAACTTTATCAATCCTTGAATCTTTTTTCTCGCGCTGAATCCCAAGATTTTCCATGGACCTTGCACAAACAAATGATAAACTAGCTTTCTGTTTTTTCGTTGTTTGTTGTCTTTTCTTACATCTTCGACAGACAAAGTAAATTTTAACATATACAGCTAGAGCGTAAGCTAAGCTGACCCCGATAGTACTTGCGGTTATCGTTCGAAAAAACGTCCTGTTATTTACAACATGAATCATTACTACCACAGAGCTTCCCCAGAAAACAAAAACACTTAAGCTTATGCCAACTGCATGAGCTTTCCGCAAATGCACGCGATGCCTTATAGGAAAAACAACAGCTAACAGTCTCTCCGATGTTAAAACAACTGCAGCCATAAAGAAGCCAAATCCAGCGAACACTGCAAAAATGGTTTTGCTCGCATTGTGCAGTTGGCACACAAATATTTTTTGAAGTTTTAAAACCACGCTTGTGATAAAAACAGGCTGCGATATAATGCTTTGGAACAGGTCGAATGAAGCAAGTAGAAAGAGTAAGGTGTTCGATACAGGCTGTCTTGATTTCGTCTTCAAATATCTGTATACTACAAATCCATTTGAAAGCAAACTGAGTATTACAATTAAAATATTCACACAACAAACTGCTACGTCGCTTGCAAATAATGACGTGGAATTCGCATTTCGTACTTCACTAGTATACCAACATCCTTTGCTGTTGAACATTTTTAGAAAGAGCAAACAACTTGAATGTCCGTAACAGCAGACCATGTACTACTGTACGACCTGCAAGCAGAAAAGATATTCACAAATTACGTTCCTACTGTAGCTAGAACTATAGGCGGTGAAAAATGAAAAACATTGGCTTAATAATTAACGATTAATGCTATAGACAAACAATGACGCGCCACTACTCAGAAAAACTTGCGTTTCGACAGATGTTTTGTGACTCTGCATATTTAAAAATACGACAGTATATCCGTTCTCAAAAACAGTAGTACAGATCGCGCTATTCTACCTTGTTCGTCAGGATGTGATCTGTCTTTACCAATTTTTTATTTTTAAATTTAAAATACATATATTGGGACATGGCTGGGTTATCGTCACAGCTCCGAAGGATAATATCCACGACAGCCAACTACGATGAGCCCTGACACACTTCAAGGATACATTCATCCATCTCTCGGGTCATTAATATACTACAACAAATCACAAATTTACCTGTTTGGAAATAGCGGGGAAAACGCCCATCTTTTCGTATTAGCCTCCTAATATAGAGACAAAAGTTTATTTTAAATAAAATGTCAAAACTATAGTATATGAAATTATGCTGCTTACGAGCTATGTGTTTTTATGTATTTAATTATTTTTCTTACCTGCCTAGTATGTATAATTAAATTATGCCCCTTAATTAATATAATTTTCTCGATCATAAAAATTTAATTGGCTTTACAAGTTATTGCAGCCTTGTTGTATTAACTATTCATCATACATTAGTATCATACATCATATGCAATAAAGTCGAGATAAAAGCCGTGCATAGTCGTCTTCCCTACTAGGGAGTTTTTGAAACAGGTTTGGTACAACATTTAGGACTTTCTCTACTAGTTCTTGGCCGGAAAGCAGCCAATATACAGAAGAAGCCGAAAAGGAGTCAGACGTGGTCTGTGAACACATGCAGTACGGCTATGCCCAATTTTCATTAGTTAATAGTTTATCAACTTTACAATTGGTCAGTTATAAGTTTACACTCTGTCTGCGTGTTTGTATAAAGATGCATGAATACATATCTCGTCTTCGATTTGCTACCCCAGCAATAGCAAATTGTTTACGTGTCAAACCATTGGGGTGAAAATTCTCATTTTAATACGTCGAAATTTTAGGAGGACGCAGCTTTAAGTCAAAATCCAGAACACATTCGGACGCATTCGGAGCGCAAGTCAGCAGTACTAAAGTCACGAAATGTTAGTTGCGCCGCAACGGAAATATTGATTTTCTCAGGACGTAAGAAAAACATTTTGTGAAAAGTTTGAAAAATTTTGCAAAGAATGTTCGATACCAGACAAATCTCTTCATCTACTCTGCTGGACGTCGAAGCATAAACCTCATGAAACTAGAATTTGTTTTCAGATTAATACAGTTTAGTATAATTATACATAGGTGATTATTGAAAATTCTCCACGCTGATTGGTTGCCGTTGAGGTGATTATAACGCGATAATCACCTCGCCTTCGGCGAATAATTGTTAAATAACATGATTTCTCATATTGGAAAATAATAATAGTAGATAAAACACGTTACACATTAAATTTCAGAATGCAGTTGCCGCTTCAATATAATATCATTCGCAATGATATTATGTTGAAGTGATTTATGTGGACTATATGCCAGCAATTTATATAGTGTTAGCGTAATGGATGATTTCAGCTATATAGACTAAATTTTGATCCAGACAAGAAGGACGAAATCTATCATTATAGCTTAAAAGAAGATCCTTAAATTAGTAAAATTGCCAAATTTGATTGCAAAATGTTGTAAAATACGGAAAATATAGCCCTGTGAAAAGCAAATTTGGAGTGTTTAAGTATTTACGCGCGGACAAATGCACCAATTTTGAGCCGAAAGTGGTGCATTTTTCCGCGCGTAATACCATGGATTGTAAAATAAATTTATTATCCATGGTAATACTAAAATACTCAAAATTTGCTAATTTTACAGGGCTATATTTTTCGTACTTTACTTACAACATTTTGCAACCATGCAAACTTTGCAATTGTACTAATTTTAGGATGTTCTCTTGAGCTATATTTTATAATGATAGATTTCGTCTTTCTTGTCTAGATAAAAAATTAGTCGATAGCTGAATCATCCATTGTCAATTTGAAATTGTTACTAGATTGTAATATTTAATGATTCATTCAATCAGTATTTTTAATGAGTTAATTATTCTCTATGGTGGGTAAATTAAAAAAAATTTAATTGCTTAACATTCATAAATAAAGATCGGTGGTAAGGACAACAGAACATAAGTCCCTTATTAAGTCCCACCAAAACACTACAAGACAAATATTACGTTGTGCATACAAAGCCACAGAAAAATTACAATTTCTAAATTGAACAATTAATTAATTGGCTTTGTCGAGGGGTAAATTCAAATTAATATAATCGATTACCGAAAATTAGCTACTAATTTATAGAAATCGATGAAGAAAAAAGCTGATTTTGAAATCAAGAAATCTTATACGCCTTACATATAATTTACCCATCGAGCATGCCAATACTAGACATTTACGAACAACAGTTTGTCTGCATGCAGTGAACGACACTTACTGCACAGTGTTTTCCAAGTTCCAGGCCTGTCTATATCGAATATCGTGTTCAGTTTATTTTTGTAGTACTCATATAATTTAGTTTTAAGGATAGAAAGAGATGAGGACAATTTGACATCACAAGGCAAGCAGTTCCATAAATACACAATTATATTGAAGTACGAGTTTCTAAAGAGAACTGTTGTATACATAAGTTTGGACGCAGAAATTAGTCACCAGAACTGGAACGGGTTGAATGATGGAGAGGTTTTTCAATATACCGATCAATATCGTGTTCGTATATCCCGGTTTTCCATTTATAATAAAATACAATGTCCTTGATTTCCAGACAGTGTGACAGAGGAATCAGGTTTAGGTTCTTTAAACGATCCAGGTAAGAAGACTCATAATCTTGGAGAATAAACCTGCGTTGAATACTCTCAAGACGAAACAGATCAGATAGAAAACTAAAACTTTATTGGTTGGTCATTTATGTGATATTCTTGAGGTGGAACTGAACTCTTCTTCCGAGAAAAACGCATTGCAGCACACCTTTTGGCATTAAAATTTAAATCCCAGGTATAGATGACAATTGGTGGGGAGAATTGAGGTCAGCTTGAAAAAGATTTTTGTCCTTTGGTTTAACAATTTCTCGGTAGCATTTACTGTCATCTGCAAACATAGGAACCACGCTGTAATTTGATGCATCAGGAAGATCGTTTGAATAAATCAAAAACAGAAGAGGACCAAGTATACTGCCTTGTGGAACCCCTGATGTAGCGTTAAGGTAAGAAGATGTGGCTCTGTTGACCTCCACTCGTTGACGTTTAAAAAAGTTTAAAAATAGTTTTTGACGGGAAACGGAATCAAAGGCTTTTGAAAAATCCAAGTAAATCATGTCCGCTTCGTTGCCGCTATCTTGTGCTTCGCCAACGTCGTGAAAAACACCGAGAAGTTGAGTAGTACAAGATCGTGTTTTTGCGGAATCCATGTTGTAATTCGTTTAGCGACGCCAAAACAAACTCAGACACATGGATATGGATGACTCGTTCCAGAAGTTTGGATATCAGGGAAAGCAAAGAAATCGGTCGGTAGTTACTTATATCATGACTATCACCTTTCTTATGAACTGGAACAACGTTTGCTGCCTTCCATTCCTGAGGAACTTTGCCAAGTGAAAGTAACATGTTGAAAAGCACTGTTAAAGATGGGGTAATTTCGTCGGAACATTCTTTCAACAATCTAGCAGATATTCCATCAGGACCGGTGGCTTTGTCGGTAATGAGGCTTGATAAGAGATTATTCATATATTCGGTTGAAACAGAAATGGAATCAAGATCATTCTGACTGTAAGCTGAAGGTGGAGGAATGTGAGAATTTGGGATACCAGGACGAAATATCTGTTGAAAGCATCAGCTTTTTTTTCTGCAGACATGATTTTCAGAGCGTCGAGGAACATAGTGTCTGGTAGGGAAGAGCCAGTCGTCTTGGATTTGAAGAATCTCCAGACGTCTTTGGGCTTGTTTTTCACTGGGCTTGTCAACTTCGAAATATATTCACGTTTCTTTGATCGTATCAGACTCTTGAAGTAACACCGCAGCTCTCGAAATCGTTGCCAGAGTTTTGGAGAGTTAGACGACTTTGCCCTTTTCCTCAGGGATTTGCTACGAAAACAATTTGCCGACTGGGATTCAATAATTTGCCGACTACCTGACGTTTGGGGAGGGGGGAGGGTTAAATGTAGGATGCTTTATACCCGTACTTCAATCTATTTTAACAATAAAATATTGTATACCAAAAGCAAAAATGGTGTAAATACCAATATACCCGAAACCCTTGGCCGGGCTTGCCTATATTGACATTGTTTCTAATGTATATATATTACGCTAGAACTGAACGCATTATTTGAAGTGCCTGAGGTCCACTGGAGCGGATGGAGTGACCTCTGTTTATGAAAATGTTCATTTCGGTAACAATACAGTACAGGATTAATGATAGTGTTAAGAAACACGACAGTTCTTGTCCACGGGGCAAAATAACTCACAGTCAAGTATCCTATATCGTAATACGACGCATGCATAAGCAGTACTATAGCGGGAAGGTTACACATGAATAGAGAACCCAAGATGGTGAACATTCGAATAATTGTCTTCCTTTCACGACGACTTAAGGATACATCTTGTGCAATAGTACGACATTGTGAGGCAGTTTTGGACATGGGATTCACACGATTTATTTTGATATTTGCGTTGTTGCTGATCTGTGATGAAATTTCGCTTCGGTTTCTATCTATATGAAAAGAAAAGTGTATTATTTTGCGCTTTAGAAAGAATATGTGGAATATTTGTTCCAGGTTCAACAGTTGGTGTCATATATGCATGGGTGTCTTTCATCTCTGTGAACGGGGTTTGTTCCTGCAATTTGTAGTGGCTTATTGAACATCTAAGGAAAATAGTCTCTATCTTATAGAGTTACCCAGTATGAATAAAGTTACTGTTAGTTAACAGAGGAGAATATTAAAGTTTATGAGATCACGGCAACCAGGTTTATATCAGAAATATTTCGTTACTCTAATTTAAGTAAATTCATATAGTTCGTGCAATTCCTGAACAAACTATATTCACCACCCAACGTTACAGTCTAGTAATATCTTCATCAGGATTGGCAGGAATGCCGAAAGTTGCAACATGGCTCTTTATATGGGATGACGTCATAGTGAAAGGTATTGCATATAAATATGGATCATCGTGCATTAAATTGGAAAGATTGTAGCTATCTACCACGAGGTAATCTTCGCCTTGTTGGATGGTGACGTCATCCTTCCAGCATGGACGGATTTTCTGGGCCCCCCACCGCAATATTTTGCACCCCCAAGAAAGTTTTCCACCCCAACTAGAGAAATTTGTACCCCTCCAAAAAATTTAAATGCTCATTGGGATAAATGACAGTAGCGTGATTGAAATAAAGATTTTGAACTAAGTAAGACTAAAACAAGGAGTTTGAATAGAAATTCTCAAAATTTCCTGGGGGTTTCGGTCCCTTACCCTCGTTAGCAAGAATAGCAACTGTGCCCCCAAGCCCCTGCTGCAGCTTGTTTGGCGGCGTTACGCGCCCCGCCACTCACCCCCCTCGTTTTCGGCACCCCTTCCCCAGAGAAAAATTTGAAAATTCGTCTATGCCTTCCAGCATATAAGGACTATAAGGAGCCAGGTTAACGTTGGGATTATAGATCACCCCTGAAACAATAGACTAGAGTGTTAAAACTTTGGGCCGAAAATGTAGTATCGAAACATGTCATAAATGAAGTTGGTTTAGTTTAGGTTTCCTCCTGTAGAGAGAACAGTTTAGAGCTGACAGAGCTATCCAGTATAAATTTAGTTAACAGAAGAGAAAATATTACCTGTAATTTTTTGACTGTCAAGAATCTGTAACTCTGTTCCACTTTGTCCAACTTTATCAATCCTTGAATCTGCCTCTGTTTTCTCAAGCTCACACTCAATTCCATGATTTTTCATGGACCTTGCACAAACAACTGATAAACTAGTTTTCTGTTTTTTCGTTGCTTCTTGTCTTTTCTTACATCTTCGACAGACAAAGTAAATTTTAACATATACAGTTAAAGCGTAAACTAAGCTGACCCCGATAGTACTTGCGGTTATCGTTCGAAAAAACGTCCTGTTATTTACAACATGAAGCATTACTACCACATAACTTCCCCAGAAAACAAAAACACTTAAGCTTATGCCAACTACATGAGCTCTCCGTAAATGCACGCGATGCCATATAGGAAAAACAACAGCTAACAGTCTCTCCGATGTTAAAACAACTGCAGCCATAAAGAAGCCAAATCCAGCGAACACTGCAAAAATGGTTTTGCTCGCATTGTGCAGTTGGCACACAAATATTTTTTGAAGTTTTAAAACCACGCTTGTGATAAAAACAGGCTGCGATATAATGCTTTGGAGCAGGTCGAATGAAGCAAGTAGAAAGAGTAAGGTGTTCGATACAGGCTGTCTTGATTTCGTCTTCAAATATCTGTATACTACAAATCCATTTGAAAGTAAACTGAGTATTACAATTAAAATATTCACACAACAAACTGCTACGTCGCTTGCAAACAATGACGTGGAATTCGCATTTCGTACTTCACTAGTATACCAACATCCTTTGCTGTTGAACATTTTTAGAAAGAGCAAACAACTTGAACGTCCAAAACAGCAGACAATGTACTACTGTACGACCTGCAAGCAGAAAAGATATTTTCAAATTACGTCCCTAGACCTAGCTACACAGTAGACAATGAAAATGAAAAACATTGCATTGTTTTTATTAATGATTAGTGCTACAATGACGCACCGCCGCCAAGATGGCCAATCTAAAATTCATCTACTCAGACAAACGTGCGTCTATAGGCAGATGTGTTTATAAATAGGACATGAGACGAACTATATCTGTTTTCAAAAAAACATTGCCAGTAATATAGCGGCGCCATTCTAGCTATGGTTCGTCAGGATAACTCGTCTTGCGTTTACATACAGGATGATCGGTCTTTACCAATGATCCATCCCTCGGGTCATTAATAACTTCTTATTAACCGAGCGCGAGGTCTTTACAGACGAAGTCCGATATTTCTTTGTCAAGACCGAGCAAGCGAGATTAATAAAACGTTTATTTTATGGCATTTATAGTCGAAACAAATAAGAAATGCATGATTTGAAATGCATATTAGTAGCGTAACAAATTAAATTGTAATTTTCAATTAGTTTTGCTGTTTTGTTTTAAAATGCATGCGTTTGTTTCTACGTCATGGACCGCCGGTCCATTACGGGAAAATAATGGACCGCTGAAAGTGTTTCTCAGCCAATCACAGTCCGCCATTTTACCGGAAGTAATGCTTGCCATATAATAAATTTAATAATATACAATAACTATACTGAGTACACTCACTAGCTTGCTTTAAAAAACATACCTGTTTGGAATTATATAATAACGTTAAGAATTCAAGCGCTTTCATTGGTCGGAGTTACGTCACACAAAACCTTATCCAATAGCATTCCCTTATTAGTGAATTACGTCACACAAAACCTTATCCAATAGCATTCCCTTATTTGTATGGATCACGTACGTGTGATGTTTGTAAAATTTGGACTATAAAAATTTAATGAGATTTACAAATTATTGTTTTTGACCGCCTTGTTGTATTAACTATTCATCATACATATTAGTATCATACATTATATAGCAATGTGTCACGTTACATATTTTCTATTAGCAATAAAAGTCGAGATAAAAGTACTTCCCTACTAGGGAGTTTAATTTTCGAAACAGGTTTGGTACAACACTTAGGATTTTTTCTACTAGTTAGTGGCCAGAAAGAGGCCAAGGTACTTTTTGTGCAGAAGAACATTTCTTCTCAGGTCGTAAGAAAAACATTTTGTGAAAAGTTTGAAAAATTTTGCAAAGAATGTTTGATACCCGACAAGTCTCTTCAATCTACGATGGAGGTCGAAGAAAAAAAACAACCCCGCATTAAACTAGAATTTGTTTTCAGACTTTTAATTTTTTGTTGTTGAACATGTTTTATAATATTGAAAACAATAACAGCAGATAAAACCGTGACTTCTTTACATTACTTTTTACACATATAACATTTAATATACCTTTACTTATTTTACGTTCTCTCATCCTTGTTCAGTAAATAGTATCTTAGTGTTGCAATTATTTAGGATAAGAGAAGAAATGTTTTCACTTCTTAGGGTTTGGACTCATTACAAAGACAACCGCATCAAGTATCTTTAATGCAGGAGGAACAGGTTCGTTGTTTTCTGCTGCCGGATTTGGTACTGCAGCCAGTAAAGGTTTTGGTGGCTTCGGCACAACCACAACAGCGGCCAGCAAAGGTTTTGGTGGATTTGGGACAACCACCACTACTAGTGCCAGTAAAGGTTTTGGTGGGTTTGGATTAACCACCGCAACAACAGCGAATAAAGGATTTGGAGGATTTGGTACGACTACTGGATTTGGTACAACTGGAATTGGAGGTACAATATATGTAATAAAAATCCGAAAATGAGATCTGGATCGGAATTTTTGCGGTAACTCTCAAAGTACACGAAAGCTGGTCCAGTCTAAATTTGAGGCTTTGAAATGACATCTCATTCTCACCAGTCATTAGAAAAATTATAGTTACTGTATAGTGAATTAATTTTGACTCACTCTTAAGACTGGATCAAAATTAATATACTTCAACGTGTATCTAGTAGCAATATTGGGACAGAATAACCATATATTTGGTATAGATTTTCTTAATATGAATTGTTAATGATGTGAGATGTTTCATTTCCCTCCACTTTACAACACGTGTAGTCGTGTTTTATCATATTTCCAAGTCCTGCGCACATTTTAAATATGATAAAATACTTAATAATAATTATGTGGCTGCGCAGATCCACTTCGTAATTGTGTGGATGTACGTGAAGTAGTAACTATGAGTAGACGTGAACATTTATTAGGATTCGGCAAAACAATATCTATATATGTGTATTTGCTTGCAATCAAAATCCAGTATTTTGTGGCTGATAAATGTTCATTAATTTAAAGTGCCTTTAACACGAAATTTCACCCCAAATGTTTATGATTGCATTGTAAAGATCACTTAAAATGACTTAATAATTTCTTTTATAGAATTTTGGTAACTTGCTTCCTTTTCAAGATATTCAACTTTGTTCCATATGCAAATATCACCGGTGTGACATCACATCGCATAATGACATTTTGAAAATGCAATAATTTACCTTGATAAAATATTTTTACAGAGGGTTAATTACCAGTAATGAAATTAATACATATACAAGGGCAATTTTTAAGTTTTTTTAGATACGTATTCGTCAAGAAAACTATACTTTTCTGAAAACTCATTATGTGATGTGATGTCACACCGGTGATACTTGCATATGAAACAAAGTCGAATATCTTGAAAAGGGAGCAAGTTACCAAAATTGTATCAAAGAAATTATTAAGTCCTTTTAAGTGATCTTTACAATGCAACCATAAACCTTTGGGGTTTTGATTTCGTGTCATAGGCACTTTAAGATAATTATGCGGTTTAAATATTTATATTCGAAATGTCCAAGCGAAGCAGCGATATAAAACGAATCGCACGTTCTCGATTCGTCAACAAACAATTGTTAAAGTTCAAAATATTGAACGTTCAGCAAGAAAATTTTAGGTCAGTGTCTTTTTGCGTATTTTCATTTACTGGTTTTGTTTTAAGTAAGTGAATTGTAAACCCACTTGTATTTACAAAGCGAGCTACCATTTTGTTTTCTTCAAATCATTAATTTAATTGCACTCACCAGGAGTGAACCAATCAGATTGCAGTAATTTTGTCATGTATACAACATTTCGTGCTCGACCAATCAGCGCATTTGTTTACATTTTCCCTCTCAGCTAATCATAATGCAGGAAACGAGAAATTTACAACTGACAAGGCGAGCTAGAAAATATTGCCGTCTTCTCGGGCTTCCGTGAGATTCAATTTTAACTTTTTTAATTTAAAACTGACCAAAAGATTATGATGCAGCACATTAAAATCTAAAACTTTGCCGTGGGCATTTTTAAATTTCGACCTAGAACTGAAAATATCCATGTTTGAAATTTTTCCCTATGCCGCGTATACAAATCGTATACAAATTTGAGAAATCTAATTTGACTGCAATAAAACTAAAAATTGCTATATTTTCTCTGCTTTTAAGTTTTTGTTGGAAAATTTTTTAGCTCTTGTTGCAAATTGTTTTGGTCAATGTTTTATATCAAAACCTCGACGATAAAGCGTTTATAGCGCTTGATTTAAAAAAAAATATAGTCGCACGCTCGCGATCATACGGGAAATCAATACAAAAATATTGTCCAACCGATTTTGCAGAAAATCAGACTCTCTAAACGCGTTATCTTCTAGGTTATGAAATAATACATTGACCAAAATGATTCTCAACAAGAGCAAAAAAGAGTTTTCCAACGAAAACGTAAAGCAGAGAAAATATAGCAATTTTAGTTTTATTGCAGTCAAATTAGATTACTCAAATTTGTATACGCGACATAGGGAAAAATTTCAAACACGGATATTTTCCGTTCTAGGTCGAAATTTAAAAAAGCCCACGGAAAAGTTTTAGATTTTAATGTGCTACATCATAATCTTTTGGTTTTAAATTAAAAAAGTTAAAATTGAATCTCACGGAAGCCCGAGAAAACGGCAATATTTTCTAGCTCGTCTTGTGTAAGTTTCTCGTTTCCTGCATTATGATTAGCTGAGAGCGAAAATGTAAACAAATGCGCTGGTTGGTCGAGCACGAAATCTGCCCTTGTTCATGTATACAATAAAAGTGCTTATGCAAGAAATTTCACACCATTCTTTTACGATCGAATTGTAAAGAAAATTCGAGATGACGAAATAAAAATTAACAGATATTTAACAATTTTTGATAAGAGCTAGTAAATTATTCTCACTATGACGTCACATTGCATTATAGCGAGCTTAAGCAAGCGACGTTTTTGTCAACACGGACGTCAGATTACCGAGGGGGGGTGGATTAAAAACTGTGTTTGTGTCAGTTTGTGGTAATCTCCAACACATACGACAAAACATAAGATTTTTAAAGTTTTTTGCTTCCTTACACGAGCGCTATGATGCAAAACGCCGCCAAAATTTGATATATCAATTTTCTGGTGACGTCCGGTGTTGACAAACACGTCGCTTGCTTAAAGCTCATCGTATTGACTTTCTGAAAAAACTTCATGAAGATCTTGGGATACAGTGGTGTATTGAAATCATAAAACCGTGCAAATGTGTTGGGTTAACATCCTATAAAATAAAATATATGTCATATGTCGACAAATTTGAATAAATACGAGTTTATATAAAATTTGAATTTTCATTGCAATGCATGCAATCATAAAACAATTGTGTGAAATTTCGTTGCATAAGCATTTTAAATCTTGTGTTGTCGTAATTTAGTTCTTTTTTTAAAACAATGAATGAATTGATTTGAAAGTTTTACCAGCCTAACAATATTGTCAAGGTATATAATTATTTTGCTTAAAATTTTTTGAACATATTCAATTTATTTTTAGGTTGTGGCTTTTTCGTTGGTGGGAGAAGGAACACCCGCTTAACTTCGACACTATATTATGCATTCAGATTATCTGTTACCGCTGTGCTTTAATTGACTTTTCGGCCTCTTTCCTGATGGATTTTGCACGTTTTTCACCTGTTTTTTCTTAAGGTAATTACAAAGATAAAATTATCTCCTCAATTAATTTACTTCCTTAACACATAGTGCAGCAACTCTGCTTCTAATCTAATTTTAACCGATGCATTGTTTTTTAAATTTTACAATAGGCTGTATATGTGGTTGACATAGAAACACACTAGTTGTCAGGTCTCTTTGTCCTATTTGTCTAATTGTTTGCTTCAAACAAAATAGAAAGAAATTATTATGATCGTTTTCAAACGTGCTATGGTGAATATAAACATTGAAGTGAACAAAACTTTTGTTCCAAAGTGTCTACAGCAGACATCGCTTAATTTAGAGGAGAGAGACCTGGTAACTAGCGCGCTGCCATAACAACCACATTAACGTTCGTTGCTATAATTGTATCAAATTTCATTTAATTTCGTTGAATCACTTCTGAGATAATGGACTTTCACAAGCATAAAAAGTGCCGTCATAACAGAAAATACAGAACCAATCACGGTGGGCAAAAAAGACAGCCAAAATGTAACAAAATCGAAATATTTTCCAGCCAAAATGTAAAAAAATCGAAAAACAAAAACATACGATTTTTAGGAATGTTAAGTTCTATCCTGTGAGGAAGTTTCGTGATATTCCAAACTAAGGACAGAAAGTTATTTGTACGTGGCCAAATTTGCTGTCTTTTTTGTCCACCGTGCATAACTTGAAAACGAGATAAGTTGTGAATAAATTTTTCTTCATAATTTAAGTACTTTCCGCATATTTTATGCATTGCTTCAAAGTACATACTGTAAGTACTCTGAGGTAATGCATAAAATATGCGGAAATACTTCGTATCATCATGTACTTCAAAGAAAACGACTAAACGAGAACAATTACACAAGAACAGTAAAAGACAAGCGTCACGCCATTTAGCTACAGTTCAAATTAACTTTCATTTTCATTCGTTTATGAACGCAATGGCCATGGTAAAAATATTGGCATCAGGTGAAATTTAAAAATGGAATTTTCCATTCCACGAGGCGACATTCATTATTAGCACAATGAATTGCAGATGTATGTAAGGAGCTCCACCAACACAAGATGGCTAGTCAAAGCAGCGAGTCTTGAAGAGATAGTAATTCAGAACGCAAAAATTTAACCGATGACGAGTGAGCCGATGCAGTATAGGATCGCGAATAACAGAAGCGCAGCCACGGGAAAATGTGGGGGGGGGGGGCAGGTTCCGGACACCCCAATTTTCTTCAGAACTAACTAGGGTCTGGGATGGGGGCCTAACCTCTTAATGTTTTCATCTATGGCATAAAATATACCAAATCTGTGGTAATATGCCCCCAGATGGCCGGGTGATTAGACACCCCCCTCTACATTTAGAACGATTATACAATTGGTATTACAATTCGGTTGTACTAGAAATACAAATTATTTTAAAATCTTTGCAGTTAAATAACCAAGGGATTCACTTGCTCGTATTGCAGCATCAAAATTATTCCACGATTATTCGAGGAAATTAAAGAAACACAATCGTGCCCTTCGAGTTAGCCGGGCCCCATCTTTATACGTATGTTGAAACAATTACCATCCTCGAATTGTCGTACTCCCAGCACCCCTATCAATTTGTCCGAAACTAAATAATATTTAGATGTTACCGGTATATCTGATAATCTGACATCACTTACAGTTTTATAGTTCGTCTGTAAATATATCTGTTAAATCAATCCAACTTGAAATCGCGTGCACCAATCAACTTCCAAATATATGTTCATATATAGTGGAAAATTATTTGAAGA